GCCCAAATTGCCTGCACTCTCAATCAAGTCAGCAAAAGCTCTCCGCTTGAGACAAAATCGGTTCTTGAGGCCATGCATCTAGCCCATAAGTACTTTGGGATTTGCCTCCACCAATGCCTGAAATTTCCAGATGACTGAAAGCACTGCACATCCCACATCACTGTTTTCCGACTGGTGGGAGCAATTCTTCACTCTGGAGATGCCAGCCCAAAGCCCCAATGAGGCCGGTCCAGGACCTCCCTCCACTGTGAAAAACATCTTCACCAAAAAAAGGCTCCGGGTTTCACATGTTGAACCTCGATGGCCATGTTTTGGATCGGCCATCGACCACATCGATCTCGACCCGAACACGCTCAGCCGGTCCCTCCAGCTCCTCAGGGATGTCGAACTGAACCTCTTCCAGTTCCTCGCTGCCGGTGAGAGGCTTTTCGAGGTCCGTCTCTGTCCTCGGCGAAACGCGCGTGGTGGCCGCGGTCGTGTGGGGCAGTTCCGCGCGTGGCGGGCTTTGTTGGGTCAAGTGGGATGGACATGGCGCCATTGAAAGACTTCAAGTCGAACAAGTCACGGAGAACCCCAAAATGCCGTCGCAGTGAACAAAATGAACTACTTGGTCCACGGATGTCCACGGTGCCAAGCACGGCCGTGTTAATCCTTTAAATGACTTTTAATCTTTAGCCTGACTGGGTTTCGTAGGAAAACCTTTGACCATCTTTGACCCTATGGCCGCTTAGCCAAGACAAAACAAAAGAAACCAGCAACAAGAAACCTGCGACACTGCAGACAGTCTTGTGTTCAAGTCGATTCATCATACCGAGTTTACGCGATCTGATGCGATCTGTACGACAACCTGCCGTGATCTACTTTTTCCGGAATCGAGCTTTTCACGAAGCGTTGCTTCATCCACAAGCAGTGTTTCAGTGTCGGGAATCCAGAATCAAGTGCGCGAGAACCGTCGTTTCATCTTCAGACTGGTGATGCACATTGTCTCCCCCCACACACCCCATACCCCGAGAAAGTGTGTGACCATGAAGGAGTGTGACCCCTGCATCGAACATGCAGGCGTCTTCCAGCACGTCAAAATAAGCACAAACAGCTGCTCTCCCTGGTGGTCTCTTCAGGACACGGCATGTCAACCACTGTAAGGACACCGCACGACGTGGTCCGAAATGCTCCGAAAAGCACCATCCCGGACCGTCTCCGCAGCAGTGAAACACCGAAAATGGGGGACTCTCATCGGGGAGGGTGCCGGTTCTTCGGATTGCAAACATCATATATAGTCCTCTTGAAACCACCTGGGACTGAGTCACAACTCTTCACTTCAGCTGGACCTTCTAATCAAGTGGCAACCCACCTGCGATTGAGTTGCATCTATAATCCACCATGGTTGTGTCTGTAACCCATCTGTGGCCCACATCAAATTCTAGCATGAACCCGGAAGCGTTTACCGAAGCTGCTGGACGCGAAAACGTCTACCGATTGGCAGATCCAGGCAAAGACTCGCTTCCGACGTGAAGATAGGTCGGACCAACTCACAGTTAGATTATATTCATGAGTTTCAATCCCTTCATGACATGTTCATTCATCTGCTTTGTTCTGCTTCGTTCTGCAAAATAATTTTGGGGCTCCAACTGCTGGTCCAACAGTAGCAAAGCTTTCAGTTGAATGCAAGGACTATAGTTGACAATTGGCAGCTTTCTGGATGCCAAGGCCTAGAACCTGGATGGGCACAAATGAGCTCCTCAAAAAGAGGTGCTACTTGTAGGCGCTTTAGACGTTCTTGTAGCCCAAATAATTGCCGATAAGTTCAGCACTTTCTGGTTCTAGCCGAGTCTTGGCAACCAAATGCCTGGTCCCCGTAAACCGCTAGAATCAGAACCCTCATAGCCTTTGCTGCAGCCGGGACACGCTTCTGCAGACTGCACATCTCGTTCATCTCGGGGCGGTACCATCATGTTCCTGGATACAAGCAATACAAGAATGCAAGTACTTCCTTTGTTTGGATGGCGTCTTTTGACCACTCCAATCGGTCCTGGACCAGAAGATCACATATAGAACTACGGTTCGTTGTTTGATCCCATGACTCATGAGCAGTGGCAGAAGATGTGGGGAACTTGGCTGACTCCGTATGTGAGGATTCTTCCTCTGCCAAGGATGATCCACCAAATCCACCAAACATACAGAGGTATTTGTACACACCTGGGTGCTGGTGCATTGTTTCAAATCCACACAATTGACAAATGGATATGTTCCTTTGTCCTTTCACCTAATCCATCAAACCCAACCTGTGTCTTGAGAAACTAATTGCCATGGAATCATTTGTGTCCTGAAACACATAGCTTTGGACAACAGCCATGGTGCTCTGGCTGCAAGCACCAAATAACACTTGGAGTGAATAATACTTCCGTTTTGACATGTCTTGACTCTCTGCCCTGAAACCACGCCAAGTTTCAGCCACCTCCGCATGTATATCACAGCAGAACAACAAACGGATCGGGATCAAAACGTTCGCTCCAAAAGAAACAAACACACAAACACACAAATTGAATGATGTTATATATATATATATTAATATGCTATTATAAAATATCATTCCGTGTCGTCATATGCTACTCACATATGCCGAGTTCACGCTTCCAATCCGTTCCCAAGCGCACTCAATTCCGGACCACCTGCCCCGGGTGCGACCAGATCGTTTGGCACCTTGAGTCATAGCGTGGATCCTTCGACATGATGACCTCAGCACACACATGACAGTGTTTCACCCAAACTTGGCTTAAAAAAAAAGGGCGTGGAAGTAGAAAGAGAGTTGCAGTGACCTGGAGGATGCACTACAGTTTGCTGAAACCACTGACCCAGTAGCACAAGTACCAATGTGATTCATGGACATTCATAGTACCTTCTTCGTGCATCTTTTCTTTGCTTGTGAGGCACTGCCCAGCCCTGGATCCCACCGAGAAATGTTGGACCGCTGGGACATGTGACACTGAAAGGACATGGGAACCTGAAAGTACATTGCCCTGATCCGGACCCGAACAAACACGTGAAGGGGTGGTTAATCGACACCCCTTGACCTCTATGGACTCATTAATAATGCACTAAAGGTTGAACACTGGATTTTATTGTATAAAGTCCTTCCGGACTGAGGTGATGTCCTTATCTTTTGTATGCTAAGGTTGGCTGCAATTTATTGAAAGCAAGATTCCTGCTTTTTTGGAATTCCGGACCAACATTGTCCTAAAATCCATGGCCTAAGGTTGATTCACATGTTCAAACATCATCATGGTTCATAATAAAAATAGATCCTTGTTAATTTTTCCTTCGCAAGCTCATCCGTCTCCTGACGTTGTCTCGTGAATCCCCACCCAAAATCTGTGAAGAGTTGCAAGATGTGGATCCAAAATCATGAAGAAGAACGTGACGGACACTGTCAAAGAACCCCAATGAGGCCCCAATGAACCCTTGCACTGACGGCTTCTGCTTGCCAACAACCCAATTTATTGCTCAACATGCATGCTGAATTTCTGATTGTCCATTGGATGGAAAGGAGGGACATCTAAGTCCTTAGCTTGACCCTCAAGGACCTCCAAGTTGAAGGCAAGCATGCACGTATAGAATCCTGTGTCTAACCTATCATCTGATCCTTCAATTCAATAGTGCCATGACTTAACACGCTTTTCTGAATGTCTGGACCAAGGATCACCTTGGACTTCCTGATACATTTTTGACTCTTTCTGAAGTCCTGGACGAACGTGATTTACTTAAAAACACATTTATTCATAGATCGTATTTAGTGTGGATGGTGGCCGAGGTGTTTCAAACAAATACAACATTATCAAACATTATCAAACGGGTATAGTGACAAACATATTATACTTAGAACAGAACTTGACAAAAAGTAAAACGCCAGAATCAGCCGAGTGCAGCAGGACAGGGTGTTCTAAGTGTATACTTAGAACCAGGGGTATCGAACATACTTAGAACATAGGCGGACAGATTATGTTTGAGAGAAAAGATTATGTTTGATTGTGCGCGTGCGATGTTCTAAGTGTGGGTTGGGGTGTTCTAAGTGTTCTAAGTGAAAACACTGGTGTTCTAAGTTGCACGTTCTAAGTGTGTGAAAACGGTAAATAAGAGGGGTTTTCTAAGGTTTTGAACTTTGAAAAACATCGAATGTTCTAAGTGTCCGTCCGTCACTATATATATATATTAATATATATGTATAATATGGAGCTTGTTAGTAGACACTGGACACTCCTTGGGGGTCCTGGTACTCGTTCTCGTGTGACCCTCGTTGCGTCGCCTCCTTCACTGGCGCTGGACCCGCCAAGCTGCCCCAGGCGTTTGCAAGGCGACACCGTTATGTCGAGGCTGTGCGTGCTTTTGTGGTGCAAAGCAGAAAAGACTGGGAAGATTGCTGGCAAGTGGTCCACCTCTACCAAAAACTTATGCACTTGTTGCATCTTGTTGCTCTGTTGCCTTGCAAGACTTTTATTTCGCAAAGAGCCCAAATATCTCAGAGTCCCTGGCACTTTTCAAAGACATCTGGAAAATGTCTCCAGATGTCTACAGTAATCAGTGCTTTTCGAAGCTTTTGTCACCCTGGTTGGGGTATTATAGGTCCATGAGTCATAAACCACTTACACACTGCGAACCGGCCGAACACTGCCTCACGCCTGAAGACCAGGGTACTTGGCTCCTTTGCCAGCGAAACTCAATTCTGAGCTTTGGGATGCCATATGATCCATATGATGCCATATCATACCAGGAACCCCGGCTGGTTCTTTGAAGTTTCTCACCGGTGACCGGTCGACGACCCCCCAAAAGCCTGACAGCCCTAAATGCCGGCCCTCCGCAAAACAGGCCTAAATGCCAGCCCTCCCTCCCCCAACAAAAATAGAATAAGCGCCGCACCTGTCCTAAATCGCCCCGTCCTAAGCGCCTCATTCTTCCTCGTCCAACGCGTCGACCGTCCAACCGATCGCCGTGGGTTCCCACGGCGCCTCGTCCAAGGCTTCGCGGCCTCGGACGCGCGACGCGATCGTTCACCTACGGCTCCGTCGGTCTCCGTGGATGAACAGGTCGGTGACGGAGAGGAACAATGAACTGGTCATGGCAGTCGGTTTTCGTGCGTAACGAACATCGTTCTTCAGGTTGAACAGTGCTTAGTGCCTCTGACCGGGCTCATCCGGGCTCTGTTTCAGTTGGATGGAAGCCATCGGTGGCCACCTGGCCTCAGTTTGGACATCTCTGAGCTACCCTCGCTTCGCTGGGCCAGGGTGCTCAGAGTCCTCAGTGTGGCGCCCGCTCGACTGGATCGTCGTGCCTGGAATTATCCTTCTCTTCGCCCCAGCGGTATATTAGGGCATGAACAGAATCTGTGGAACTGCTGTTAGACACCGCAGTCTTATAGGATCTTATAGGTCTGCAAGCTTCTGCTGTTAGACCGCAAGCTTTCGTGATAGGTTGGTATAGGTCTGCCCAACCTATCACGAAAGCTAGCCATGAGCTCATGCCAAATCCCCAAGCTTCAGCAGTCTATGCACTACCACTGTAAGGCCTTGGGCCGAGTGCTCACTGAAAAAACAACAACACATAAAAGCAAACGCCCCACCATGATCGGGAGAGGTCCTCCATTTTTTCTAAGCCGTAATTATGACATTAGGACCATTCTGTGATCCCTTACTCATTCTATGTTGGCCATCAGGGGCCTATCAAAGCCCGAATCCAACTTTCGGTGCATAGAAGCAGCTTTCTCGCCTCGTTAGGAGTGCTGGGAGAAAATAATTGGTTGCAAGGTATCGCATCGGCATAGACTTGGCTGACAAGCAAAGTAGTTGATCACCAGTACAGTACTTCTGGGGACAGGCCATTTGCATTGCAATGGATTCCGGTAGACTTTCAGATATTTCTGTGGTGGGTTGACATAGACCATCCCACCGGGAGAAAGTCCTCGAATCAGATTGATTTCATGGTTCTTAATTCTGTTGGATTTCAATGTCTCAAACATGCGCTCAAACAATGCTCGGTGGAGATTCTCAACACTTAGATTTAGATGCTCTCTCCTTCATCATCCAGGGAAAGCTGAGCAACACTTAAACAAAAAAAATGCCAAGGCCTGGAAGGCATTTGCCTGAACATTATTTGCTAAAAGCAGTGGCTGCAGGCTGATGCTGCCCTCACCAAAGTGGAAAAAGATATTTACATAATATTTGTTTACAAACTGCTCAAGGATAGCTCTTGCAAAGTAACATGGAACCTGAGAATTCACCTGTGGTTTCGAGCATTTTCCCATATTTTTCCAATACCAACCAACAGTGGGTTTTCGGTTCCAGCATGTTCCATGGAACATCTTGGATGTCTTTCATGGCTCGCTGAAAGCAACTGACCAATGCCCCGGTGCAATGCAAGTCACGGCGTGCTGACACCAATCGCCCGGTGCAACCTCGGGCGACGTCGTCCGGGTGCGAGTTGTCGAGGTCTGGTGGATGGTCCTCTCATGCTGTACTTCATGCCGTACATTAAAAAAATCCTCAAACATCATCAAACATCCTCATCTCTTTCACCAATGCTATTCAATCCCATTGGATCCCATTGGATCCATCATGAATATACATCATTCATCCCGATGTCGTCTCATCCATCCCTTCCATGCCTCCCGCCACTCCCTTCTCCCGCTCACTCCAATTGAGTCCCCCCGCTCCCCAGCTGCCGCCAGCAGCTCCACGGCCTCCGCGCCGCGCAGCTCCACGCTGCGGCCGTCGCCCAGGGCGTCACGCAGTTTCGCCAGGAGCGGCGCGCAGGCGGCACGGCGCTTGGGCGCCAGGGCACCGTGGCAGAGCGAGGCCAAGGCCCTGCCGGGGGAGGAAAAACGGTGCGGAATGAGATGGTTGCAGAATTGAAAACAATTGTTTTGATGATCTTAGAGCTTGAGAAGTTTAAAACCTGATTTATAGTGACTGTGTTTCTTTAAAGGTCGGATCTGGGCCCCAGGGCGTTGGGGGGAATGAATTGGCTCATGGATCCTTCATGGATTGATCCTTCTAATCTCAAGTCTCCAGATCGACACATCGAGATCAACCCAGCCAACCTGGGAGGAGGCGGCTTTTGAGGCTCCAATGCTTCCGTCATGCTGGCCACCAAGCGACAAAGTGCTGTGCCTTTGGTGCCGTGTAGCAGGTGGTAATCCTCGCGCGGTCGTTCGGCGCCCGAGATGGCATGTGCTCGGACTGTTCGAGGGACTACGCCAGAAAGTGGAGAGAATGGAGACCTGCATCAGGAAATTACAGACAGTATATACAGCCTTTTGCAAACAAGGCCTTGTCTAAAGCGTCCCCAAAGAACTACTCTTTTCTTGGATGGCACACACGAACACCTACAGTGAGAGCTTCATGCCCAACATGTGTGCATCCGCTCAGCGAACACTCCGCTCAGCGCTCAGCGTCCTCAGTGTTGCGGAAAAGGCTCGCCATCTCAGACAGGGAGAGCTCCTGATGGAAGATGAGAAGCCAAACACATGGAAGACGGGAGTCGCATCATGAATCCACATCAATCCACATCCCAATATGTCTGAGGATGTCTGAGACATTTCCAGTGAAACAGGCAGTGAAGGACTCTGTATACATGGGACCAACACCACCTGAGTCGATGGATTGAATCGATTCGATCGATCGGCTCCAATGGGCGGACAGGCCAAAAGGGTGTGGCTCCAAAGGATTTCGACGTTGGTCAAGGCCCCCTAGCTTTGGAGGTAGCTTTGGTGTCCTTGCAGGTCGAATGTCGAGTCGCTGCACGGTGTACTGGAAGTACTTAGAAGATCCCAGTAAACAACATTAAACAACTACAGGTCAGTCTGTGTCCTTCTGTTCGGACACTCGCGAAGTCCACAAGTCTCGAAGCCTTCTACTCTGGGATTTGCTGAAGGAACCTGGAGTAGAAGAATCACCAGAAAAATCACCAGAGTAATTAAAAGGAACCAGGGTAGAACCTTCTATATACTCTTAAGGAACCTGGAAAAAAAAGGGCAAACAATAACCTTAAGCAAGTCTGTCCTTCCACCTCTCAGCACTTCGTGCGCAAAAGTCATCGAAGAGCTGTTGGTCTCTGACGTCCAACCTGGACGCAATCGAGTGCGTCGGCTGAAAACCACCCAGACTGCATATAGTATCTCCCGCCAGCACAAGTCTTTTGGTACAGGCCTGTAAGTGCTCATGTTTCGTAAGAAACCCAAACCATTGCAGATGACAGTATACTAGAGAATATCATTCTCCCACTTTACCGACCACACTCCATGTAAATCCGTTCAGCAGCAGCTCTGCCTTTGCAGCAGCAGCGGCACCCCTGGCAACTCCGGGACACTCAGCGTTTCCGGGGCGCGCAAGCGCCGTGCCAGCTGAATCAGCGAGCGCTTCGTCTCAGGCGGCATTAGTTTCAAGAATTGATTTCGTTTTGTTGAGAGTGAGGAATAATAAGATATAATTAGGAAAAGGTGCTGAAGGCCAACTTCCAACAGCGCGATTGCGCCGCGATCCAAACGAAAAACGCACTGGCACTTATTACATTCTTTCTTGGCCACTGCCACATGAATGAATCCACATGAAGGTGAAATCATACAATTAAGTGGTTCTTTAGGTCTGTTCAATCACATCACATCTTTGCTTTTTGGTCTTGAGGTGGGAAAGATTTATGGTGACTGGAATGATTGAAGTGAAAAATCGCTCCTTCTGAAGACTTTTCTGCTTCTTTTTCTTGTGGGAAAGGTTTGGTGCAGCTCCGAGCTCACAATGTTTGCTTTGCTCACAAATCAACGAATCACTATTCACATCTCTTCACCACTCCAGGGAGTAATCTGCACCGCAGTCATCTCGGACACCGCTGTCATCTTGGCTTTGAGCTGTTGGCTCCCGGTTCGATCACTTTATGTCGCGGACCGATCACTTCGTCGCTTCATCGTCCGACCGAACATGCATGGACCTGACGCCTTGAAAAACCAGTTGGACACCCATACTTGGTAGGCAACCAAGTTAGTCACAATTCTACTTGATCAATAGAAACACATGTGTCATCCATGTAATTCGTGTGTCGCGAGCCTTCCTCCCAACATAGACTAGTCTATAGATCAATCCCATATTTTCGCTGGTCGTGAACACCACTCATCGGTTAAGACGGTCTTTTCTGAGTGAACACCAACCGCATCCAACCGCACTCCCTCGTACACCGCAGACCCACCTCTTTTCACCTGTCGCGTGGCGTTGCCTCTGCTTCGCACCCGCAGGCTCCCACCAGAGCGGACCACGTTCCGACCCTCTTCGTTCGTGTGGACCCGTGACGGGTGAGCCTTCCAGGTCTTTGGAAAGTCTGCCTGTTCATACTAGTTGGCAACTAGTAAGACTTTACTTGCCAAAGACCCTTTGGTAGGACGGAAAGTCTGCCTAGTCCCTAGTGAGTTCACAATACTAAGTCATACTATGTCTTATGTCATTGTTCTCAGGGGGCCAGAGTGAACCCAAGTTGTAGGCCTTCTCAATGGCACCTCTCCTGCTCCAGTGACTGCATTCCTGACTTTGATTCAGTTGTCTTCCCAAATTATATTCCAAAGCTGGAAAACCATGCAGTCCTATTTCTCTATACACACATTCAATATCAAGCTGCAAAAAAGTTGACAACATGCTCCAACATCAGCATCCCTCTTCTTTTTATTTATATAAAGCTTTTAGATGAAGACAACAAACTAATCTCCAATCATGTTTCTCAAGGTCCAAGAACTCCTGCGGATGAGCACGCGATGTGCGACGGTTGGCAGATTCAGTTGGCCGTCATCTCCAGAAGGAATGATAATGATGATTTGGGAGATTCCCAAGTTACTAGAAAACAACGCACAAAAATTGTCCGACACGTGCTACACCCTAGGACTCCAACCACATCCTCAGAAGGTGGTCAAACCCCTTAATCACCCCAACCACCCTCTCAGGAGATAGTTGGAACCCTAGAGTCCCTAGAGACAGATCTGGTATGATTTTGTTCTTCCGCTTCAAGAAGGCTTTCCTCGGAGATTCCGGACGGTCGGCATTTCCAGGCCAGCTGCCCCATCAGGGCAGACCTGCACCATCAAACCGACCGGCTCTGTGTCATTAACTGCTGCTGATCTCCGATGCGGCGGGAAAGCTTGGCAATCTCATGGACCAACCTCGGTGAAGGCAGATGTATGGACGCACGCGACTGCCTTTCAGGGTCGATGTGACTCCTGAGTCTTGCTTGTTTTGTGTTAAGTTTGGGTCATCGTAAAAAAAAAGGTGTTCCACGATCTTGTGGAAGATGTGAAGCATCACAGTTATATTCCTTTGGGGTCCACTTGCTTGAGGTTCAGCTCCTCACTGCACCAGTTGAAGGTGATCTTTGATGATCTTTGTCGTATTGAATCCGTGGAAGGGCGCCGGTCAAGGTTTGCCAAAATGCCAGTCTGGCCCCTTGCAGAGCCCCAAGACACTATAGTTTCGTGCATTAAAAGCTCAGGTGTCTTGGGTTGAGCTCTGACCCACAGAGTCCTAGTGTCATCGAAAACCATCACCATGCAAAATGGAGATTGATCTAGGTGCTTGCCTACCGCTTGGTCCCAGGTCAGTCGGTCAGTCCCTTTTTTGTTCCGCCGGCTGTCTGAGCTCTCAACTGTTCTTCAGAACCACCTGACACCCGTGCCGGCCCGATGGGAAAACGCTGGTTGCGATTCAATCAAAGAACTGTTTTTCCCCGAGAAGGAATCCCACACCACATGCATGTCGGATGTTCTTTCTTTCATTGCTTCAAGCTGATACACGAAATTGATTGACCAATGAATGCAACATATTGCAACATATATTATTGACTTCTGTCAACCTTTTCAAAACTCATCAGGGGTGCTCGAGGCATGGAAGAGATGCTTCCACTGTGCAGTGTGTATTTCAATTGCAAAGTTTTGAGAGTGGTGCATTCCCATGTCCATCCCCAATGAATCCGAATAAATTGATATTGGAATATTTTAAGTGTATATGATTGTCATAACTTTCAAGACCTGCAGAACCTGCAGGTCGCTGGAGAAGCTCCGACCGCTCCACTCCACTTCCTTCGCTCCAAGCAACTGCTGGGGGCCAGCGAAGCGGCGTACCTGGGCCATCGCAAGACCGGCGGTCGCGACCGGTGGACCGTGCTCTAAGACTCTGGCAAATGGTCGATGCGGCGAGAGAGGCTGGCAATCTCACAGACCAACCTCAAAGCCAAACGAAAGAATGGTGAGGAACATTGAAGGACAGCTTTGAACGACACAAGGCATGTGGTCTCCCAACAGCTGGACCATTTTGTCCAAGAGGGGCCCAAACCAACCTGGAGCTGCATGTCTGGGCATGTCTGGGCCAAGGTTTCCACATCTCACGCTTGGCTTCCAACTGTTCTTC